GCCCCTTTAGATTTTTAGTAGTTCCCAGGGGAGTGGTGTAGTGGGATAGAATTAAAGGAGACCCGTTTCCGGGTGGAGCCCCCCCCCCCCCCCCCCACCACCACCAGGTAAATGGATGCAGTCTTCCTGCCCCGGAGAGTTTAGTTTGTTACAGAACCAAGATTGGGTGGTATGTTATTGATAAGGTGACCCATGCTCGTCTGTGTGTGTGTGTGTGTGTTTGTGTGCGTTTACAGGAGGAAGAGTAAACAAGCTCTCAGAGATTACAAGAAGGTTTTGCTGCAGCTGGAAACTCTGGAGATCAACGTTGGGGACCAATGTCGAAAAGAGTTCACTGGTACACAAACACACAGACAAAAACACATGTAATATATATCATATTATATATTAATACAGCAGGCAGTCTCCACTGTGTAAAGTCCTCTTCTGCTGCTCCCAGACCTGATGACGGAGATGATGGACCTCAGCAGTGACGTAGGAGGACCGGGACTCCCCCTGCTGGACTACAGGACTTACGCAGAGAGGGTCTTCTTCCCCGGCCAGCAGGTGGCGCCGCTGAGCCGCCAGCTGGACCTGCCGGAGTCCAGGAGACCGACGGTGGAGCAGGGTCTCCAGCAGCTCAACAACCTGCTCAACAACCGACTCTTCCTTACCAGGGTGGGTCACATGATGCCGATGTGAGCTGGTCTCGGGTCAGCTGACTGTCTGCTGGTCTCAGGTCAACAGACGTGTGCTCTTTGTCCATGTTTCAGTTCATCCACACCCTGGAGGCCCAGCAGGGCTTCTCTCAGAGGGACCGGGGCTACGTTGCCAGTCTGCTCACAATGGCCCTGCACGACAAGTTGGAGTACTTCACCGAGGTAATGAAGAGTCTGCTGCAGGACCTGGTGCAACAGTACGTTGTCAAGAACCCCAAACTCATGCTGCGCAGGTAAGTAAAACAAGCCCACCTTTACCTGGGAAACCCATCAGCTCGGGACAGCTTAGATCGTTTTAGGTCTCAGCTCAAAATCAGAGCCCCAGGTTCCCCAAGGAGGAGCCTAACCAGTAACTGAGGAGTCTGTCTGTCTACCTGCTTGTCTGTGTTTCAGGACAGAGACTGTTGTAGAAAAGATGTTGACCAACTGGATGTCGATCTGCCTCTACTCCTTCCTTAAAGTTAGTGCTCATCCGTCTGTCTGTGTGTGTCTGTGTGTGTCTCCCTGCAAACCCTAACCAGTCTCACCCTCACCTGTCTGTCAGGAAGTGGCGGGCGAGCCTCTCTACATGCTCTACAGAGCCATAAAGTACCAGGTGGACAAAGGGCCTGTTGACACGGTAACAGGAAAAGCCAAACGAACCCTTAACGACAGCCACCTGCTGCGAGAAGACATTGACTACTGCTCTATGGTAACCACGGCAACACACACCATGGGAGTCCTCTGACACACCTGTCTGTCTGTACCTGTCCCTGTTTCACTGCACCTGTGCCTCTCTCTCCTTCAGACTCTGATGGTGTTGGTAAAGAATGGAGTCGAGGTTCAACCCTGTCCTGTTAAAGTGCTCGACACCGACACTATCACACAGGTAGGCGCCTGTCGCTCCGCCTTTCACCTGCCTGTCTGAATCTCTTATCTGTCTGACTCTCACCTGTTTCACCTTCTGTGAGCAGGTAAAGGATAAAATTCTGGATCAGGTCTACAGAGGAGCGCCGTTCTCTCAGAGACCAGCAGCAGATAATCTGGACCTGGGTATGTACACACTCACCTACCTGTCGGGTTTGATTGACAGCTCTTACTGACCTATCCCTCCCTGTCCCTGTATTGACAGAGTGGCGCTCAGGTCAAGCGGGTCACCTGACTCTGTCAGACGATGACGTCACAGCGGTGATTCAAGGTCACTGGAAACGAGTGAACACTCTGCAGCACTATAAGGTACCAACCAATCACATGTCGCCTTCACTTGCTCTTCTACTCCTGTTCTTCATGTTGTCTTCACCTTCTCCTCACCTTCTCCTCACCTTCTCCTCACCTTCTGCCCACGTTGTGTGTCTCTCTCATCAGGTTCCAGATGGAGCAACAGTCGCTCTGATTCCTCGTTCTCAGAGTTCAGGTGCAGTCAACCAGGTCTTCCAGACCGGAGAGAGTAAGAGTTTTGAACAATCTAGAACTCACAGAAAATGTGTAACATCCACAACGCAACATAAACAGAACGACATCGCGTCACATCCTGTTCAACTTTTGGAGATTGATGAACCTTATTTTGAAGACGCACACTTTCCTATCAATGCATCGGAAACAAAGTAAAAAGGTTCTGTTTCTCTATTCAGATGGCAGCAAACCATGTATGAATACTTTTATCAGAACGAACCAGCCAGTAGAGGAACGCGGCCGGAGCTCCGTCGTTGGTGTCATAACCTGGCTCAAGGGCCATGACAAAAGAGGGAACGAGGCAGCGTAACTGACCAAAAGTCATTTATTTAACCAAGGAATGAACTAAACATATCTTTTGTAACGTATAAGATCTGTAACTCTCTGTAATTTAAATAAACCAAGCAGGGTAATCAGGCCGTGGTTGACGTCTGACCAGGTGGAGCTTTATCCCCATTGGCTCACAGCTCCCAGGTGCACCAGACCTGCCATCAACTCCCAACCAGGATGGTTATGACTAGAGAGGCATCACTCCCACAGAGTGGCCTCACTGGACCACACAGAGGCCGTCACATTGGCCAGTTAGATAGTTGGATAAACGAGTGGACCCACAGCAACAAGACAACGTAGATCAATATGATTATCTGATATTAATTCTTTCATTGCGTCATTGTGTTAGTGGTTTGAACGTTGTTTAGTCAGACTCAGTCTCAATAGGGTGTGTTATCTTTGGGGTGGGTAACTGCTCCAACACGAGGGGTCTCCGATGTGTGTCTCATCGTCCTGACACTCTGTGTGGTTGCCATAGAAACGCCAATGCTGGAGGGTGAGGAGGAGGAGGGTCTACGTCTGTGGCACCTGGTGAAGAGCAGCGAAGATCCAGAAATCCCAAAACACAGAAAGAGCAGCATGAGGGAGCGAGAGAGAGCCAAGGCCATACCTGAGATTTACCTGACCCGCCTGCTGTCCATGAAGGTACCACACACTCCCACCTGTCTGTGTCTCTGCCTGTTGTTACCTGTGTTAACCTCTACCTGTCGCTCTGTAGGGGACATTGCAGAAGTTTGTGGATGACGTTTTTGTGGCCATCCTTAGTACAAAGCGTCCTCCTCCAATAGCTGTGAGATTCTTCTTTGACTTCCTGGACGACATGGCAGAGAAACATGGTATTGACGATCCGGAGACGGTCCACATCTGGAAGACTAACAGGTAAGAGACACACCGGCACACCCGTCTGTCTGTCGCTTGTCTGTGTCTCTCTGACATGTCTGTGTCTCTGAAGTCTCCCTCTCAGGTTCTGGGTGAACATCTTGAAGAACCCTCAGTTTGTTCTGGACGTGCAGATAACTGACAGCATCGACGCTGTCCTGTCTGTCATTGCTCAGACCTTCATCGACTCCTGCACCACCTCAGAGCACAAAGTGGGACGGGTACGTCTGTCTGTTTACTGTTACAAACACAGCTCCGTGGCTTTAGGCACGTGACCACATGGCAACTCTCTGTCCAACCAGGATTCTCCTGTCAACAAGCTGCTGTACGCCAGAGAAATACCCCGATACAAGCAGCTGGTTGAGAGGTGAGACAGTTTCCCGTCGGCTTTTACATTCAGTGTCGCGCTCAAACTCAATTTGCAGTATGATATTTGCAGATGTCTAATCTGACGGTTCTAAAGATGCCGTTATCAGCTGTTAGTTACGGACTGCCGTCACACAGTAGCACAGCGCAGCAGTTTATTTGGATTATTTTACCGAACTAACATGTTGAACCAGTGACTCTTCCATTGTGTGTCGCACCTTTGTTTCTTTTACTTCCAATGCAAAAAGCTCTCTCCACCTTGAGCTACTGTCCTGCTTCCCCCGATGTAACTGACTGCAGCTGTTTCTGTGCTCAACTTCCGGTTTACTTCTTAGAATCACTATGAATGCAGTAGTGATAAACTGTGTCAACATGTGTGTGTGTGTGTCCATAGGTATTACTCTGATATCCACAGCTCTGCTTCAGGATGTTATCAGGAGATGAACTCCACTCTGACGGAACTCTCTGGGGTTAGTAACACAACTAGAATCTGTACGTGCATGTATATACAATATATATATGTATGTGTAATTATATATATATAATTACATATGTGTAATGTGTTGAGAAACTCTGTGAGACAGACTATATGTATATATATACATATATATATATATATATATATATATATATATATATATATATATATACAGTGTGTGTGTATTTACACATGATCTCTATTAACTGTGTTTCTGTCTGCAGAGTTTTGCCTCAGAGATGAACAGTCTCGTTGCTCTTCATGAACTCTACAAGTACATAAACAAATACTACGACCAGGTAAAACACACACATACACTCACACATACTTCAATCATTTCTACGAGTCATGAGTCTGATGAATGTGACGTCATACTAATGAGATAATGTACTCAGTTATACAGTATTAAGTCCTAGAGAACTCACTGATGTCTCTCTCTTCATCCACCTGTCTCTCTCTGTGTCTCTATGCACCTGTCTGTCTGTCCCCTGTTGGTCAGATCATCATGTCTCTGGAGGAGGACACTTCAGGTCAGAAGATGCAGTTGGCCTATCGGCTGCAGCAGGTCGCTGCCCTGGTGGAGAACAAGGTCACTGATCTCTGATGGCCTCCGACCCCTTCAACCTGGTTCCAAGAAGTCATGACCTCTGCCCTGCGACGCTGAAGATATAAGGAGAAGCTTCCTGTTGGACATCTGCAGCAGCTCTGAGACTAGAAACGATTCTCCTGTTGACATTGTCTTCCTGCTGAGTGTGTGTGTGTGTGTTTACAGTCAGACTCAGGAGATTCTGTTTTTTAGAAGATTTAGGAGACTAAACCTGAACCGATCTGACAATCGAAACAATCAGATGATTTCATCATCGCCTGCTGCCTTGCACTATATTTCCCAGAACCCCCTGCGCTTTGGCTGTTTGCCGGCTAATCTCCGATCTGCTGTATGTTTCTCATTGTTAACTTTTACCACTGAAACCAGCACAATTCTGCTTCAGGAGCTTTAAAGAGTTCTACTGAACACAATGACTCAAACTTGTGATTTGTGAGACTCCAGTTTAACTTCCCTACCAGCACTGGATCCACTCAGTCTTCCTCACTACCTGCCGAGGCCACTTTGACTCAACCAGCATTCAGGTTGGCATTAGTAACAGGGTCCATTTGGTCTGGACCCACAGAAAGTGTATAACCTTATAGACCAGAGAGACACTAGCTTCCCTCCATCTTCTCATGGTGATGATAACCACTGGACACTGTCTGTAAAAACCAGAATCATTGTGAAAGGTTGATGTATGATAGAAACCTTTTTTCAGAGGAGCTTAAACTCGTATGTTACTAACTTATTACATGTACATACTGTGAGTTCTATTTATTCCTTTTTTATTCCAGCTGTGCCTTCAGGCTCGCAGCTAGATGGCACTGTCTGTCCTTCTTACAACAGCATTATTGACCATGTGTCCCATTGCATGATGGGAAGATAACTTCTAATAACTAATTAAAGGTGTTGAACCACGGAGGGAAAACAACAAAGTGATCATCTGCCAAGATCCAAACAGCCCGAGTTTGATTGGATGTCCAGCTAGCATAATGCTATGCAGAACAGTCTTTATACGCTACTCTGTGAGACAGAATACTTCCTGGACCCTTCACCTGATACTTCCTGGACTATCCTGGACCCTTAACCTGATACTTCCTGGACTCTCCTGGACCCTTAACCTGATACTTCCTGGACTCTCCTGGACCCTTAACCTGATACTTCCTGGACTCTCCTGGACCCTTAACCTGATACTTCCTGGACTCTTCTGGACCCTTAACCTGATACCTCCTGGACTCTTCTGGACCCTTAACCTGATACTTCCTGGACTCTTCTGGACCCTTAACCTGATACCTCCTGGACTCTCCTGGACCCTTAACCTGATACTTCCTGGACTCTTCTGGACCCTTAACCTGATACTTCCTGGACTCTCCTGGACCCTTAACCTGATACTTCCTGGACTCTTCTGGACCCTTAACCTGATACTTCCTGGACTCTTCTGGACCCTTAACCTGATACTTCCTGGACTCTCCTGGACCCTTAACCTGATACTTCCTGGACCCTTAACCTGATACTTCCTGGACTCTCCTAGACCCTTAACCTGATACTTCCTGGACTCTTCTGGACCCTTAACCTGATACTTCCTGGACTCTCCTGGACCCTTTCCAGATACTTCCCTGAACACATTTCCAGTGTAAATGGACTTACACTGACACCAGTACCATCAGGCCATAACTAAACACACTTCCTGTCTGGTGCTGACATATTTTGGTATTAATTACATTGGATGATCTTCCTTCTGTACTTATCTTCTAGTATTTCTGATTATATCTGTGTTGATTTATTGTGTGTGTTTTCGCCTTGCTTGTTTTTGACTTGTAGTTGTAGTTCACTGATCAGATCAGAACTTTGCATGTGTGTGATGATTTGTTTTAGAAAGAAAACTGGGTCATGTATGTGAATGTGGCAGAAGGTCCTGCTTTGACCCTTGACCTCCTCATCTCTGTACAGTTTTTTAATCGTCTCAGACGTGATGATACAGATCCTCAGCTCTGATTGGTCGAGCTCCATTTGTTACTGAAATGTTTTTTCTATAAGGGAGTCAAACTTTAAAGGATTCGTATAAGATGACTCGTGGATCAAATGTGACAGAGCACAAACTGTTTTTTACTGACTGTAAATGTCTAAATGTGCCTGTAAATAACTCCGAGGAGGATGGTGGTGATGATGATGTGTTTTTATTGTGAAGAGGCAGGAGGCCAAATACAATTTGTATCATGTAAAAATAAAGTTACAGTTTAACAGTTCTCTCTGTCAGCGTTTCAAGACATTTTCTCGATATATACTAGTTTTATGTTAGATAACATACATCTGCTTTGTAGTTTCCAAGAGAAGGCAGAGTTCTCAAGAACATAATGAAAACACAAACTATATGATCAGAGAATCAGTTTGTTGTTAATCATCTTGTGAGCACAAGATCCATCTCCTATTTCATAATAGTGTTTCAAACGTCATCAACATCTTGTCTATATATATCTTGTATATTGATAACATCCTGTCGTCACGTCGTTGGCATCTCGTCGCGGTGACCTATATTTACCCCCCTCCCCACTGCGCTCAACCAAGCCGTCGCGTGGTCAACTCAGCAGACGCTTGAATTTTAGTGCACGTATATGCTGACATGTACGGTATTAAACACGGAAAAAGGCTACTTAAATAGCAAATTCCCGACAATGATAGAAGGCTGTGTGTACAGGACACCTCTGGCTACTCGTGTACAAAAAAGAAATATTTGTACAGTACACATTTGGAGATTTGAAGTAAAAGCCCTATAGTTGCAAGTTCAAAAACACCTATTCTCCATATATCCATATTCAATGCTCACCTGTTTGTGAACACACTTTTTCAAGCAGACTGAGCTGCTGCGTGCAAGAGAACTGTCGAAAAAAACAATGCAAGAAACATTTGGACAAATGGATAAAAAAGTGGATGTTAATATTGTCTTTGTATAACTGCATCACTGAGTCTTTTCTTGTCTTTCTTTGAATAAGATTCTCGAAATGAAATGCACAGGCTTTACAGACTAAAACGTCCACTACACAGTAAATTCCAGCAGTAAAATCTTTAATATAACCTTTAATATAATGTTTGGATTAACGATTGTTAAGCATGTCAAAGAACACACTAAAAGCTCTTGTATTTTGTAGATCAAAGATACTCTGATTTACTTTTTTAATGTACAAATGTTAGACGTCTACTTTTGGGAATCTTGAATTAGTATATTAAAAAATGTCTGTAAATGTGTAGTTATATAAGTCTTGTACGCATATTATTACGTCTTTGCCTGCAATTACTGGGGAAAGTATTTTTCATACAGTTCAAATATGGAGAAATTATGTTTTTCAACATATACCTACAGGACCTTTATTTTGGAGAGATCTCTTAATTTGTACAGTAATATTTTTACATTTTTCGTACAAGAGTGGTCTTAACACATGCATCAGTCATTGTTTGGACTTATTCAGAAAGGTGTTTTCATTGCCATTCAAACATTGAAGAATTTTTTGTACAACAGTAGTCAGAATGATCCTGAACACAAATACTTCAGTCATTGTCCAGAATATTTGATTAAATAGCTTTTATTCCGGTTACTTGTTCAATACCGTAAACATCAGCATACACGTGCACTAACATTCAAGCGTCGGCTGAGTTGACCGCAGCCACCCGTCCCGGTTTGGATCCAGCCTCAGTATGGCCGCTAACTGCGCATGACCAAAGACCGGTGTCCGGTGTCCGACTGTTAACAGCTGTTGAGACCATGAAGGGTAGGACCGGGGCACCAGGGGAAACACACCCAGAATAACCGGACTGGACCCAGTACAGAGCCGGTACCTCCCCTCCGGTCTTCAGAGGGGGCCACTGATCTGCAGCTGCACTGAAAGTAGCTGAGCTAACGAAGCTAGCGGAGCCAACAGCCAGCAGACCATCAGCTGTTATCTAACGGGGCTAACAGGCTAAGTGCTAACGAAGCTAGCGGAGCCAACAGCCAGCAGACCATCAGCTGTTATCTAACGGGGCTAACAGGCTAAGTGCTAACGAAGCTAACGAAGCTAACGGAGCCAACAGACAGCAGACCATCAGCTGTTATCTAACGGGGCTAACAGGCTAAGTGCTAACGTAGCTAACAGAGCTAGCGGAGCCAACAGCCAGCAGACCATCAGCTGTTATCTAACGGGGCTAACAGGCTAAGGGCTAACGTAGCTAACGGGCTAACGGAGCTAGCGGAGCCAACTGACAGCAGACCATCAGCTGTTATCTGACGGAGCTAACAGGCTAACGGAGCTAACGGAGCCAACAGAGTTGTTTTCTGACGGAGTTAACGAGCATTCCACCACCGGGTTCTAAGGGACCGGATCTACTGAGCCTTCAGAGTACCGTCAGTCCAGCCGGGATAGAGCAGAGCCCGGCTCTGTTCGGACCGGTCGCAGGATGCTAATAGGTAAAGTACGTTAGCCATTTCAGCACGGCTAACATGCTAAGCTAGCGCTCACGAGTAGACGGTAGTAGCCGATGACAGCTGATGTTGCCTCAAACACACAATGTTACGTGTTGGGTTTCTGGTTCAGCGAGACTCCTTTGAAAGAATCGACCATTCAGACCTTAAAGCTAATGCAGCTATTTATTAACTGAGTGTGAACGATATGGAGAATTTTCTCTCTAACTTACCGTTAGAGAGAAAATACACCAACATAGAAAGAAGACACACATCTGTTTACCTAACCAATTGAGATTTCCTGATGTAAAATTTTATTTGTACAGAGAAAACTGAAGTTTGATAAAAGCTATTCAACGTTAATCAACATTGGTTCATGTGTGTGTCAGAAAATCTCTGACTTCATACTGTGAATCTGACATTTTCACTGTAGCAATTATGAGATAAACAATAAGGATAATAATACATTTCATATGTAACGCATTCTTCATCAGATCTCAGAGTGCCAGATCACTTTAAATTACATTTGAATGTTTATAAAGCCAATATGGACATGGAACATTTCTGAATTAATTTCCACTTTTTGAACATATGTAGGAATGTTATTTTCGAGAAATCTCTGATTGGTACAGTACAATTCTTTCATTTTTTGTCATATGAGCAGTCGGCGAGGTCCTTACCACATGGAACTCACTCATTTGAAAATTGCTTTTATAGGACACGAAATATTGAGATATTATCTGTCATAAGTGTTGATGATGCTTGTTGTTGTTGTCTGAGCAGCAACAGTCGCCGGAGGAGCCGGTAATGCTGCAGCTACCGGCAAGAAGCACCGGCGGAGAGGAAAGAAGCACCAACGGGTCCGAACGGAGGAGAACCGGTAACGTGGAGACCGGACACAGAACGCGTGTGTGTGTGTGTGTGTGTGTGTGTGTGTGTGTGTGTGTGTGCGTCATACTGACAGAAAAAGGGTTTGGTGTTTGGCCCGAGAGACTCGACTCCAATAATAGAAGCAGAGATTGAATTATGATATCACACACACACACACACACACACACACACACACACACACTCTCGTCCGTCTATTTTAGTGCAGGGAAGTCAAAGCTCAACACTGACCATGACTCATGAAGAGCAGGTGTGTGTGTGTGTGTGTGTGTGTGTGTGTGTGATTGGTGTGTGAGTGTGTTTCTGTGTGTGGTTGACGTGTGTTCAAGTCCCGCCCACTTTATCACAGCTGACCAATCAGTGAGGGAGGTAGGTGCTTGTTACAAAGTTACAAAGCCAGAAGCTGCTGTAAAATCTGATAAGTTATTGTTGTCTATTTCAGGCCCGATGACCTCTGTGACCTCTTCCCAACCCCTCAGCAGAGTTACCCAGAAGCCACCCTGTCGCAACCGCAAAATACTTCAGATGCAAACACATCATCACAAAGAGCACCAGCATGTACTGAAGATGTCCATGAAGCCGCTACAGTACCCCAACAGTCCCATCCACTCACCAGCACGTTACCCACTGAGATCTGCACCCTCAGAACCGCCCCCTCCTGTCCGGATCCAGTAGATCCTCTTATAGCACACTTGGAGCCTCCTGAAGTTACTCTATTAAACACCCACCCGACAGCAGCAATGACACATCAGATTGACAGCCAATCCCCTCCTTCCATGTTTGAAGATCCCGCCCACAGTCCAAGTCAATCACCGCCCATGGTCAACCAAAATAATACCCAGAATTCCTCCCGATCGCCTAATAGAACTCTTCAAAATGTTCATCAGAGTCCACCTGAGAGCCAAACTTATTCCTCCAATTTACCTGCAATCGTTTCACTCAACATTACCCACAATGCCTCTGAATCAAAGGCGGTTTCTGATAAAGTTCCTCCCAGTCCTCAGTTAAGCCCCTCCCACCTAGAACCCTTCTTGCTGACCTCAGTGACCTTTACCTCGAGTGTCTCCTCGCACCTCTGCACACCCACCTTCTCACCCACCTCCTTCCTCTGCTCCCCCAACTCCCTGAGCCCCGGCCCTTCTCTCGTGAGGCCTCCGGCCACGCCCCCTTTGACTCTGAGCCCGCCCCCTCTAGAGTTGACCCCGCCCCCTGTTCCGCTTTTGGGCTCTGACGATGAAGAGCAGGAAGACCCTTCAGATTATTGCAAAGGTGAGTCAGATGATGGAGGCTGATTGGTTCAAGACGAATCAGAGTAAATACTTGGGACCTGGTGGAGAGGAGCATCTCCTCTGGACGTCCTCCTCGAGGCCTGAACCCCGCCCCCCGGGAGGCCCGTGACTAGTTGCCATGGTGACGTCCCCGCTGACAGTTGCTTGCTGGCTCTGTGTGTTGCAGGCGGTTACTACCCGGTGAAGATCGGTGACCTGTTCAACGGGAGATACCATGTGGTCAGAAAGCTGGGTTGGGGCCACTTCTCCACCGTGTGGCTCTGCTGGGACCTGCAGTAAGACCCCCCTACACACAGAATACAGTAGTGGTCCTCATCACATCCGCTGGCTCTACTGGGTTTAACTGATGAGTCTACACTGGTTCTACTGATAACACCTCCTAAGTTCTACTGATGATGATACTAGTTCTGTTTCTGTGTTCAGGAGGAAGCGCTTTGTGGCGCTGAAGGTGGTGAAGAGCGCCCCTCATTACACAGAGACGGCTGTGGACGAGATAAAATTGCTCCGATGTGTGAGTATCATACTTGAGGTTGTGGACCACTACCGAGCCGTACCCTCATCTTAGGGTCAGGTACCAGATCTACCTAATCCTTATAGGGCAGGGGGGTCAAACTAAGGGGCCACATACTGCCCACAAGTGGGCCAGACCAGTCAAACCCTAGGCTTGGTTGGGGGGGCGGCGCAGGGCGCTAATGGTCAGGCCGGCCACGCCGGGGGGGGCGAGCACCGTCATTTTCAAGTGAGCGCTGCTGCTTTGAGTGACGTGGTGTTCGAAGAGGTCTCACGCAGCGCTGCACCTTCCCGAGCTACTTCTCAATCGACCAAATATGGCGATCCGGTTCCGGTCCATGTTGAGTGAAACGTGTCTGTTAGGACCGGGAGAAAAACAGGGGGGGGCAACTACAACTACAGTGAATTTAGTCTGAAAGGAATGAAAAAGTAGAGGTCAGTGCGTTGACATGAAAACGGACTCCACCAAATCCATTTTTTATTACATATCGGTCGACCTCGGACTCGCCCGCTTTGTATGATTTGTAAGAGCAACAGCAGGAAATTGAAGATTGGTCATGAAGGGTTTCAGCTCTGGGCAGGAAGGCGGCATTCATCCATTTCCTGTTGGCTGGAGGTTTGCGGTTTGAGGACCCCAGGATTTGCTTATAATAAGCTCTTATCGGCCTTCACAGCACTTCTTAAGGGCCACAGGGGCCACATCTTTATTGCTGCAGCAGCAGTTTTAGTGACACATAAACCCGCCTGTTCTGAGGAATGTGGAAGAAGTACTCGGTAGTAATAATACTCAGTAGTAATAATAAGGTGGGATAAAAGTGCTCCAATACGTCTGTATTCACCTCATGAGATGATCTTTGCTTCTTTTGACCTCTTTTCTGGCCTCAAACTGCTGAATCCCATTTGTGTGGTTTTGAGGAAAACATTTTTCTTGTTGGCATTTCTTTCATCTCTGACATCTGAGATATGACTGATTACTACTACTACATACTCCTACTTTACTTTTAAAGAAAAGCAATTCATGTCTCTGTGATCTGTGACTCTCACATGGCGGCCTCACCCTCAGGGACCAGTAACCAAACCTGTTCAAACCCAGTCCTCAGGTAACCAGTCTGTTTGTGTACAGGTGAGAGACAGTGACCCCTCCGACCCCTACAGAGAGACCATTGTCCAACTGATAGATGACTTCAAGATCTCTGGAGTCAACGGGATCCGTATCCTTCCTCCTCAGCTGGCCGTCACATGTCTGTCCACCTGCCTGTCTACTTGTCCATCTGTCCACCAGTCCGTCCACCTGTCCGTCTACTTGTCCACCCGTCCGTCCACCTGTCTGTCCACCTGTCCGTCTATCCGTCCGTCCACCTGTCTGTCCACCTGTCCGTCTATCCGTCCGTCCACCTGTCTGTCCACCTGCCTGTCTACTTGTCCATCTGTCCACCAGTCCGTCCACCTGTCCGTCTACTTGTCCACCCGTCCGTCCACCTGTCTGTCCACCTGTCCGTCTATCCGTCCGTCCACCTGTCTGTCCACCTGTCCGTCTATCCGTCCGTCCACCTGTCTGTCCACCCATCTGTCCACCTGTCCGTCTATCCGTCCGTCCACCCGTCTGTCCACCCATCTGTCCACCTGTCCGTCTATCCGTCCGTCCACCCGTCTGTCCACCTGTCTGTCCACCCGTCTGTCCACCTGTCCGTCTAGTTGTCCATCTGTCCACCCGTCCGTCCACCTGTCCGTCTGTCCACCTGTCCGTCTATCCGTCCGTCTACTTCTCTGTCCACCCGTCTGTCATCTGTCCACCTGTCCGTCTATCCGTCCGTCTACTTCTCTGTCCACCCGTCTGTCCACCTGTCTGTCCACCCGTCCGTCCCCCTGCCCTTCAGTGGTTTCCTCAGCCTTTCCTCAGATGTCTGTATGGTTCTGGAGGTTTTGGGTCATCAGCTGCTAAAATGGATCATTAAGTCCAACTACATGGGACTTCCTCTGGTCTGTGTGAAGACCATAATTAGACAGGTAAGAAGCCACACTGATGAACATCTCCCTGACCCTCCGACCTATTGAGCTTCTACGTCACGGTGTGCTTGCAGGTGCTTCAGGGTCTCGACTACCTCCACACCAAGTGTAAGATCATCCACACGGACATCAAACCAGAGAACATCTTACTGGACGTGGATGAGGTTTATGTCAGGAGACTGGCAGCCGAGGCCACCATGTGGCAGAGAGCTGGAGCTCCGCCCCCTTCGGGGTCCTCAGGTGAAGATCACCATGTGATCCTTTAGATCTGTGACCAGTTAGAAAGGCTCATATCTGTTACTGGGAGCTGTGGTTTCCACTCAGTTCAGACAGAACAGTCTGTGTCTCTGTCTGCAGACTAAGCTGTCTCCTCCTTTCTTATACCCGTCTACCTGCCTACCTGTCTACCTGCCTCTAGTCTGTTTTTTACACCTTTCAAACTGTATTTCCTGTTTCTGATGTTCTCTTCCTGTCTCTCTCTACCCGTCTGCCTGCCTGTACCCGTCTCTCTTTTCTAGTTAGCACGGCTCCCAGCGATTTACAGGTACGTGTCCAGATTTAAGGCCTGCTGCGTTCTCATTGGTCCTTTATGTCACATGTAGAAACTATTTAATACAACCAAGTAAAGAACACGCAATGTACTCCCTGTGTTGGTGATGATGTCACCAACTGTGTGTGTGTGTGTGTGTGTGTGTGTGTGTGTGTGTAGGTTGGTAAGCTGTCTAAGAACAAGAAGAAGAAGATGAAGAGGAAAGCTAAACGTCAACAGAAGCTGTTGGAGGAGAGACTGGTGAACATACAGGTACTACAACATAAAACATGTTTGTCTACAATACTACTCTCATACTGCGACAGTAGTACTACAATACTACTCTCATACAGCTAAAATACTTCTACAGTAGTACTACAATACTAATCTCATACAGCTACAATACTCCTACAGTAGTACTACAATACTACTCTCATACTTCTACAATACTTCTAGAGTAGTACTACAATACTACTCTCATACTTCTACCGTACTGCTACCATACTACTCTCATAGTGCTACAGTAGTACTACAATTATACTTCTACAATACTGCTTGCATGCTACTACAATACTATTCTAATACTTCTACCATGCTTTTACCGTACTAATACAAGTCTACCACAATACTACTCTAATACATCAATATTACCGTACTACTACTACTGTAATACAACTGATTGTACTACAGCAACAGTATAGTAATACCACTATAATACCATTCTAATAGTATTGTACAGTACTTCTGCCACAGGACGGTAACCCTTTTGTACTATTGTAATAGTTCTGCAGTAGTACTTCAGTACTTCAGTAATGTCCCCTGTGTGTTCAGAAGATGGAGGACGAGGACGGTGTGATACAATCCGAAGATACAGACGCTGCCTGTGAGTACTTTCTGTACATCAATATACAAGTTGTATTGTTGGTGTCAAACATGTACTTCTTGGCTCACAGGCTCTCTGGTCGTCAATGGCAACACGTCAGCCAGCAAAACCAGCTCAGACTCCACCTCTTCCTGGTTGGACGACAGGTGTAATGGCCACGCCCCCGGACGGTTCACCAGCCCCGCCTCCGGCCTATCAGGCTTCTCCAGCTCCGTGATGTCAGCGCCTTCTGAATCAGCACTTTCTACTCAGTCAGAGAACTCGAGCGGACGAGATGGTGAGAAACTACCACGGCCGCGTACTACAGCGCGTTGACGTGCACCAGGAGAACAGTCCAAGACGGGCTGGAGGGACGACGTGCTTGTCTCTCCATCGCTGGCAGTCTGGACATTGGTGTTGATGCTGGCGTCCCCCTGAGACGCGCTCAGGGAGCAGTTCTCCTCATAGTCTCTGATAATGAGTTTGGTTATGGGATGTTTCAGATGATTAGATTAGATTAGACTTTATTGTCACTGCACAGGGTACAAGTACTGAGGTACAAGTACTGAGGCAACGAAATGCAGTTTAACATCCAACCAGAGTGCAAAGTAGCAGAAAGTGCAGAGTATGTGCATATGTAAAGTGTAATAAGTGAATAAATAGATATGAACAGTAAGAAATGGATATACAATAACAGTGCAAATGTTCAGTGGCTGGAGGAGGGTGTGGCAGTCAAGCCAGGGTGGAGGGGGAGTACAGTCACTGAGGGAGGTGTGTGTGGGGGGGGGGGGGGGGGGGCCAAATTTCATAAAGGGACACCCCCCGGGATTAAACTTTTCTCTCCCCCTGTAACGCCCCCCCAAGGGGAGGAGGGCAAACCAGTCTGTGGCTGGGTGAGAGCTGCACCTCCAGACATCTCTTGCTCTGGACGCCTGGATGGTGGGGAGAGAGGAACCGGTGATGCGTTGGGCGGTTTTCACCCTCTGCAGTGATTTACGGTCCCTGACAGAGCAGCTGCCGTAGCGTACGGAGATGCAGTCTGTACGGATGCTCTCTGTGGTACAGCGGTAGAAGTTCTCTAGAATCTGAGGAGACAGATGGAACTTCTTCAGTCTCCTCAGGAAGAAGAGACGCTGGTGTGCTTTCTTTACCAGGGATGAGGTGTTGAGGGTCCAAGATCAGGGTCATACTCTTCGGTACATTTACCAGTTTTAAGGGCTTTGCGTTCCTCGGGGAAACATCGGATGGGCTCGTTGCAGAAGATGCCTTTCTGAGTGTTTGGGATATGATCCGCCCCATGAAGCATGTACTGTTTCCTTTACCAGCTGTTTGGATCAGGGAGGTTTGCATCATCTAACATTACTGCACCACAGAACAGCTCCTTAGCTCCTCCGCAGGCTGCATTCAGCTGGTAAAGATGGACTTGGACCTCGGCTCCATCAGTTTCGCTGAGAAAGCTCTAGGGGGGTTTTCCCCACGTCAGGTGATCCGCTGGATTATTCTTGGAGGCGACGTATCTCCAGCTGGCTGTGTTAGCGAGAGTCTGAACCTCAGCTGTTCTTTGACAGGAGTCGGATGTCAGCCATGACAGGACAGTGGTGGAGTGACTGTAGAGGGACGGTGAGTTCAGTAGGTTAGCACACAGTTCAAGTCGGGGAATCGATGGCTGACGTTTAGGGGCAACATCTGGCCATTGTGTTCATGTTCGTCCGTTCAGAGGCATCGCAAAACACCTGCAGACGTGACTCATCGGTGGCCGGGTCAGTTGACGGGAGGAGTGAATATCAGGGATGTAGCTCCGACTCCCATGCTCTCCATTCCTCCAACAATCCCATCCTCTCCCCGCCTCCACAAGCATCATACACATGCTCCTCCAGTCGCTCTGCTGAGCTGGAGAGCGCTCAGATAGAAGCGTGGCTGCTCCTGGAACCTCCACCAGCGTGAGAACGTGGTGAAAGGTCCACCTGTCTGTCGGGGGGAGGGACGCTGGGTGGGTTTGCTAATACGTCACCAGGTGCTGAAGGCAAAGAGGTGTGGGTGAAGACATGTCTGGGTCCATGTGGAGGTGGGATGACCCGGTTCACTGGAGGCCCAAAGGACCATTTGTTGTGGATTTAATGTTCCACTGGAGCCACAAACCAACAGGTTTATTCTGTTGTTTGCATCATATTTACACGGTCTGTACAAAAAGAAATGACATCACAACATCTGATGTGTCATAAACAAACAAACAAATCATACAAACTAAACTACATCGTAATACGGATGAACGAAATCAAACTACTTCCATTGGAATCAAACACGTGGAAACCGACCAAACCAGGAATTCAGCCTCAGCAGGCGTCTATTCAGGGGGAGAGTACTCTGTGTGTACTAGTACACGTAGTACTACACAGTACCACAAGTAGCGGATGAGATGTGTACTTTGTGTTTTCAGTGTTCAGTGCTTCAGACTTCGTCCTCAGTCCTCTGGACCCTCAGAACGGACTCAAGCTGCGAGTGAAGATCGCCGACCTGGGAAATGCATGCTGGGTGGTGAGACATCTTCATCACTTCTCTCCTTCATCACTTCTCTCGCTCGCCACTTCATGTTTTCATGCCTTCATTTGATTTTCACCCTGGGTCAGTTGGCCCCACGCGGACTTCTCTTGTGCATCGGCAGGCCGACCATATGTCACTCTTTTTCTTTTCTTTTTTTACAACGGGTTTGAGGTCAGACCCACAGAGTAATGGAGGGTAGCTGACGAAGAGAGAACCGCCTTTGTGGGCAGGACCTTCACTTGCGTTTTGACTCCAAGCTTTCGGCTGCAACACTCAGACGCGGCGCTTATCACGAGTGGGCAGAGAAACCGTAGGACACTAATGTTGCTTCTCCGTTGACGAGAGGCTGACAGTCTTAACAGCATCATACACTGTTACAGTTATGCACATATGAGGGAGTCAAATGGGACAGTGCAGGACGACGTATGAACAAATGTGGCCCCATTAAAGCTTTATCTAGAAAAGAGCCACAGGGATGATGAGTTAGACTTGGTAACAGACGACAATGCTACTGCAATCAGTCACTTACAAAAAAGTACAGTCTGAGTGACGTTCAATTATGTGACGAAAGTCTCTTCTGTATGTGTGTCTGCGGCTGCAGCGCGGGTGCCCACTATGGTGGAGGTACCGGGTGT